CAGTAGAAACTAAAAAGTCGCATTTATTGATTAGGAATTTATTATATTAGGAATGGAACACAAAATGTAGTCGAAACGAGAATATTTTTTGTATTTCCAAGAATTGTTTTCAAGGAAATCATGAAAAATATAGGAAAAAGAGAGAAGAAATATGAAGCATCCATTTTTTATGAATCTTGACTTTTTTTTAGTAAACCGATATCTGGTAAAATTGTTATTCAGACCCAAAGATTTATTAAATAATACCATGCTTTAAGCACCCGACCCGGTGGTCCACCCACTCAACTAGTAACAACACTTTTTAAATGATTGTATTTGTCTATTGTTATTGATCACTTGTCTCATTTTAAGAATAATATATATGATTAACAAAACAATTGGACCAATTGGTATATTGTTTATTAGTTAACAGTATTTCTTGGATTCGAGGTTATTCTGTACCTACCTAGTACCTACAATATAGCTCTAATAAGTAATAGTCCCGTTTAAGAAAAGTGTTTTGTATTATCCACGTATGGCCTGGGATTTGATATAAAACACCAGAAAACCTACTATAATAATCTCATTGACTGGGTAGGTATTTAATAATCTAACTTAAATAAGTATACCTTGTATATCATTTTCAACTCAACCGCCTGTCACAAAAATAAAACGATAAAGCACGATCATGAGATAAGTTGACATTATATAGGTAGTGAATAGTGATGCGATTTATCAATCTATAATAAAATTAACCTTGTTCTAAGTACTATACACGCAATACATAACAAATACGTGTGTTACCCACTTAGATTATTGTTCTTGTTAGAACAATATTAGCAGCAAATTAATTTGAGTTGTTTTGAAAATTACTTGTCAGGTAGGTAGGTAGATGCCTCCTCAATACTCACTTATGAAGAGTTACATAATATTAATAATATTATCCATGCATATCAATATGGTAGAATAGATACTGTCATACTGAATATATCATAATATTATTTAATAATATATTATGAGAAACAAAACAAGATAAGAAGAAAAAAAATACGAAGGACTTCTACTTATTAAAATGGTATATTAAATATATTAAATATATTTAATTATTTGAAAAAAAAAACCATAAATAACAATCATGTATATTAAAGGTAGGTCGTAGGTACCCAACTGTCCTAACTACTTATTAAAAAAAATAATATTTCAAGTAAAACATGATAGTGCTGTATTATGTATTTATGTGCTTTAGTATGATTAGTATAGTATTATGAATTATTATGCAAAGATTTACAATGATGTAGCCAGTACTTTTGATTAAGACATGGAAAGTGTGCTACTATGATCATGACTGTAAGAAATTCGGAAATTTAGTTAATAAATAATAATGAGAAATATAAAATATATAAATAAAATTTAATATATGAATTTTATTAGACAATAATTGGTATTAATATAAATGATAAATATAAACATTAATTATTTGGTATTCGTAAATCATTTATAGATAGACATAATTTGATACAATTCATTATTATTAACAATAATACACCTACTAACCTATAATACTCAATAAACTAATAGGTGCAGCGGCTACAATATGTCTACATTATATTATTGTTAAATATACATATATTATAATGTGTGTATTATGAATTTATGTATGGGTACCTATACAATATACTTATATACCCATAATCCATTACCCACATGTATTGTGTATCATTTGCCGTCTCTATCGTCCCCATAATACACGCTGTATACTAGACTTTAACGACGCTACCGCAACCGAGCGGATTTATCATCCTGTATAATATATACTACCACACTGAGTGATTATTTTAACAGTAAAACTTATCAATTCGAAAATAATTTTATTACATAATTTGAAGTCATTACATAAAATACAAAATATTGTTTTCAAATAAGTGATATTATTTATAATTTTTTGAGTTTTTAGTTTTTGAATGACAGCATGTCGGTTCATGTTTAATTTTTTATTCTGAAGTAGAATATTTTTCTGAGAATTTTGTTGAAAATCAAAATTAAGTGGTTATTTGTTACAAGTTTGAGTGAGCAGTGTACCTAGTAAACAAACATTTTGCGGGATACTTACTTCTTTACCACACCTTTCCACTTGTCTAAACTTTATATTTATAGTTCTAATGAACTAGGTACCTACTCTTTTAAAATTCGATTTTATGCATCGAAATTCTCAGAAAAATATTCCGCTCCAATAACAAATAGATGTTGTCATTAAAAAAGGTAAACCTTCTACATTTTAACGATAAAAATGTAACTTTTTTCCAAAAATGTTATAATATATACATTATACCTAATATATTACTATATTAATATATGTATACTTTTTAGATAGCGAGTGTCTACTTTAAAATAATCACCCTGTATAATATAATATTATGCACGTGTGTACTTTTAAATTATATATATATACGCGGCCCATAGGTATCTATATAATATCGTTGTACATACCAATATACAGGGTGTTCATCGCTCGTCCTGTCGGCGGTCATCCATGGCAATTGGCAGTGATTCATTTGATAGTTACAACAATATAGGTAATATATTTGCATTCTCATCCACGGTAACATTCAACTGATAACGTAGCGTCGTAGCGGTTATATTTTTTATAAATTATAAGGGGTTCTTGTAGGTACTACAATTTTCAATGGAATAGCTACATAAGCATATAATTCATAATATATTACATGGAGAAGGTACTCGAGTAGGTACTGGAGTATTAAAAGTATAAACATGTTCAGAGAGTCATAAATGATGTGAAATGGGAAAAAATAAATTATAAAATGTCTGACCTAAAGTGACGAGTTGTAATATAGCCATGTAGGATTGGCGCAGAACCTATTTACTTAAACATAAGTAAACCGAAACGATTGGTTATTGTAAAAATGTTGGTTTGACGATACTTTTTCAAGTTCGCTGAATATGTGACAGATGCACAATATTAATAGTTATATTATGCTAACATAAAAAAGTGACGAAGAGCGTTCGTTCAAACAGAGTCAAACCACACTCAGACAAAACGACCACCCTGTACGTGTTTTATTCTGCCGCCAGCGTTAAAGTGTGACTGTTCGAGCGGATCGCGCGCGCCCGTAGTGGCGTCGGTGCGCGCGCGATTTGAACGTGATCGCTCAGCGGTGGGCGGTCGCGCGGGGGAAGCAGCGCGCTATAAGAGGGAAAAATAAGAAATTAAAAAGAAGCGACACGCGTTCCGTATCATTTTCCAATTGGCGCTCGTTCACCGCGGCCGTGCCGTCGATCCGACAACAGTTGCAGCAGCAGCAGCAGCAGCAGCAGCAGCCGCCGCCGCCGCCGCCGCAGCCGCCGCAGCATTAATCGTAATAACATTAATTATTATTTTATTATTATTATTTATTATTATTTATTAGTATTTACCTATTATTATTACTGTCGGTTTTTTCTTCAATTTCCTACTTTTGCAGTTGGCCGCCGCGAAATCGAAAATATTTTAATATATAGCCTTTTACAACGCACTTGCCTAAAAAGTATAATATAATGTATAATATTGTTTTTATTTTATTATGACGGATAATAATTGATTAATATTAGGTACCCATAGCCGCGTACTTATTTAAATTACTCTTTAAATATAATAATTGTATCATCTGTGATTATACCTAATAATTTATAATTAATTTTTAGTGTCATAATCGGCATTATTAAAATGTTATATTAATTATAGTATATTATCATTCATACTTTTATTGCCATCATATTTTTGTGGCACGTAATACATAGGTAACTAATATAATACACGTCGTTGAATCGTTCGCTATCGTCCAAGTAATAATACCTGTACAATAATTATTTCCCTACATAGTTATTGTTTTTAAAATAAAAAAACATTCATCTTTCAAAATGTATGTATCTACTAATATACCTATTATATAACAGGCAACTGCTAGAATAGCTAGATAATATATTATTATAGGTAGTCGTCTACTTAACACCACACGCGCCGTCACCGATACCTGCGCATATATCGTAATAATATACACGTATATTATTTGTTATTTTTGTACGTTGTACCTTATATATCGTATACATATTATTATTTTTTTACATTTTTACACGGACTCATTTAACAATTATTATATAATTATATAAATATATCATGATATAGATTATATCGCGCATAACGCGAATGGTGCACAGCGGTTGGATTATTATGATCCGTCGCTGATCTTAGCGCATAGTGCATACCTACCTTATACCTAACTTGATATTGTTAAATTAATTTTATATTTTAATGCCTGTACATGATATGTTTATATAATAATTAATAGACACTAATAGTATTTAATTATATTATTATCATTTGCGAGCGCAGCGCCAAAAGGTTTTTATTTTTTTGATTTATTTTTCCGGCCTTCCGCCCGTTCGCGCGTGCAGTCTACGGCCGCCACTATTACCACACGCCGCCGCCGCCGCCACAACCACTTCTACATCGCGGCCGGTACAACTGTCGTTGCCACAATCGCCGCTGACTACTGATACGGCCGCCGCTGATAACTCGTGGTTCTCACACGACGGCGATGATAGTATGATACAATAAACAGTCGTCGACCGGTTCGGCTCCGTTTCAGTTTTTTTTTTTTTTTTTTTCGTTTAAATTTTAGTTTTTCGTTTTTCGCGCTCCTCCCTTTCTTCTTCCCCTCCCTCGTCGCCTTCGAGCTCAAGTCTATTATTCACCTACCTGCTCACCGACGCCGACAGCTTGTAGTTAGAAATAAATAGGTTATTTACTTCAACAAAAATAAACGCATTTTTCGACATGCAACCGCCGTCCACGTCCACGTCGTCCGCTCAATTCAGTTCCTACAACAATGTTTTCCGTTTATTGTAGTCGGCACCCGAACGTTTCTCATTAGAGCCGGAAAGCCTTCGACTTTACGCGCCTCCACTCGGGCGTATTGAAACATCGCACGTGCATCACCAACACGACGAATCATCCGTCCGCCGTCATGTCGTCGTCAACCAACTCCGTCCCATATGGCGTACAGATTCTGCAAAAGATTTCCGACAAGTTTCCCCGCCTCACCCGGATCGTCGATCGTGAAAATTTGTGAGTATACCAAAAATATCCTCATACAGACATCCTCAATAGCTGTTTGGTACAAGTAGATAATTACGATTGCGTTCCAACAGTAACAACATTGTCCATGCCTAAAAATATTAGCCAACAAATTTTAAACACTAGAAACCCTATTGTATTGTTTAAGTTGACACACCTCATACCATTGATTACATATACATATTAATATTGTATATTTAATCAATGATCATACTATGATCTTTAGTTGAATGTGATGAGACCGTAATTGTATTGAACTAATGGTTTTTGGGAAGGTTTCTTAAATTACAGAAAATTGTGATTATTTAAACCCTTATAACAACTTTTTAAAAACAGAGTCCAATGCTACCAGCATAAAGTTGTCATATTTCAAACTGAAATATTATATTTATTGAAATCTCAAATCTGACTATAACAAATGCTCAATCAAATGTTCATCACTGATTTTTCTACGAGGCATGTTTTTGTATTAAAAATATATTGACTTCAACACCCTTAAATACAAATTATGTGTCATCTATACTTGGTTATTTAATTTATTAAAAAAAATATATACATTATATATAGGTATCTACCTATTAGTACTTTCTTTTGAGCTAGAATAAAGTTTAAGCATTTAGAGTTACCTAAATTATTTTCTGATAATCTGCAGACTTAAACACAAGACAATTGTGTTTGAATTAAATTTTGTTAATTATATTAAAGTATCTATATTATTTGTTATACCTACCTGCTTAGATAAGTATTTATCTGAGTATTTATTAAGAAAAAATAAACACATTATTATTTACTGGTATAAACAGTTGATAAGTACTTGCTACCTATTATAATATCTAACCTTGTAGATCATTTATTCTACTGGAATGACCTGACACTACTTAACTTAGGTAATAAATGTTTTTATTTTACCTTGCTATTACTAGACAAATTTAATATAAAACACATTATTAAAAACATTTTACCTACCTCATGAACTTATTAAAATATTTTTTTATGATTTATATAGGTAGGTACATAAAATAGGTATACAGTTAGTCAAATAATTGTTATAAAATCAAAAGTTTAAAATTATATTTAGCTGCCTACTTTACATACAATATTTTGGTAATTGTATTATTTTTCGAACTAGGTAACTGTTAACCGTTAGTTCAGTAAATTAAACCCTATATTCCTATATCTAAAACATATTTTTTTAATTAGGTACATTCAATAATCTGTTAAGAAATTAACAGTCATTTAATACATAGGTACTATATAGTTAGGTCTGGAATACTAAGTCTCTATTGGTTTTAAAAATAGTGCTTTAATGAATTAGTATTACAATTTTAAATTCTTCATCATACATACTCTTTTAGGCTTCACTTTTTAATGTAAATATGGGTCATACATTTGGAGTAAGTCAAAGGACAAAGATAAAGATTATGACCTCTACAAGTATCACACTGACTGTATAAATTCAATAACATAATTATTTTCCTACATAAAAAATACATTTCTGGTTTTTTTATCATATTAATTATTATTAGGATAAAAAACTTTGCTTTTGATTTCATAAATATTCAATCATTAATTATATAATATTGCAGATGATTCTTAAATAGTTGCATTCTTGTATAGTATTTGTATTGTCGAAAGTTTAGTTATATTTTATGAATACATAAATATATTATTAAATCAATAGGATTTCAACGAAAAGATTTTCCTGTCTTTAATTATCATCATGTTAATTTGACATTTGTATTACACATTAGTTAAACAATTACCTTAATTAATTTCTGAACTATTTTAATTGCATATCAATTATTTTGATAGGATATTGAGTTATGTTTGTATAATATAGAAGCAACAATATAGTTTGAGTAATTAATTAGGTAGTTTGTTTAGATCAAATTCTAGAGATATACACAGGTGGAAATCGGAGGGGGCTTGAGGGGGCTTAGTCGCCCCTAAAAAAATTTTTTGAGCCTCATCCTTTATTAGTTTTGTAGGATTGAAGCCCCCTCACATTGTTGTTAATAATTTTAGCCGCCCCCTGAAATTTTAATGGATTTTCGTCTATGGCATTTATAGTATCATAATTTTAATTTACTTAATAAAACTTGCATTGTTATTATACTAGCTGTCCCGCCTGACGTTGTCCAGGTCAAAGATTTATATTTTTAATAAATATATTTATACAAAATGTATATAGGTACCATATTTTTTCTAATTATAATATTTATTTAATATGTAACAAATTGCTACACAATTGCAACCATTTAGATCGACAAAAAAAAATTTATTTTTTCGGATGCTAAAAAAAAATCATGTGTGAGCTACCCTTTACCTATCTACAGTCTATATGAGTGGAAATATCAAGCTACATATATACATGTATACATCCTCCAATTTTCAATTTCTTATATTTCTCTTAAAACCAATATCAACCATTTATAAACAAAAATGTCTATCGTAAATCTCAAAATACCTGTTTGAGCACCTCTCTGGGATGAACCAACTGGGTCTAATTGTAAATCTAAACCATTCAGAGACTCACTCAAAAACACTCAAAAAATGTCTAGTGGTTTTGGTTTAGGTTGAGTTTAGGTTGGTTGAGTTCAATGACGAAATACCTCGCGAAATACAGACAATCATTTATTTTTATATAAATAGACATAGATTGTTATTATTTTCGGCCACCCAATTAATTTCATCAAGGAAAATTATTATACATTAAAACCTTCCAAGTGACTCGACCGATTTATTAATGAAAACTATATTGAAATAAGTAGAGTTCTTTTCGAGATATGCTCGTACATACAAAAAAGGAGCAGTGTATCTCTACTATAATATGCATGTTATATTTATATACATTTAAACCTTCCTCTTCAATCACTATCAATTAAAAAAACAGCACTAAAATCCGTTGCGTAGTTTTAAAGATCCAAGCATACAGACAGACAGCCATGGGACCTTGTTAAAATTAAGATTTATTATTATTTTTTTTTAATTTGAATATTTTCTATTTGTTTGGGTCCATAGCAACCATTAATAAACAAAAATTTCCATCGCAAATCTGAAAATCCCTGTTTGAGTACATCCCGGAGGTGCTTGTTATAAACATATAAACCTTCCTTTTAAATCACTCTATCAATTAAAAAAACTGCTTGGGTAGTTTAAAAGATCTAAGCATACAGAAAGAAAAAAGGGACTTTATTTTATAATATGTTAAGATTATTATATTATTATATTAATATATGATACCTACATTGATACATTTATATCTATTAAATTAAAATACAAAATGTATTAAGTAGAATAGATCTAAAAAAAAATTATAACCAGTGTGGATATTAAGCGATAACTATGATATTTATTTAAGATTCTGTTTAAGGTTAGGTAAGATGAAGTAAAAAGTATTTTGTAATATTTCAATATCGAACAAAATTTAATTTGTAGTAAATAATTTTTTTTGGGTGGATTTTTAAACATTCATATTTATAGTGGTCATATGAATAATTAATAATTAAATAATTATATTAGGTAGGTATACCTACCTACCATATGAAATTACTAAATTGTATCCTGATATTATTATTTTAAAACGATGCGTTTATTAATTTGTTTATCAGTTAATTTTTTAATTCTGTGTTCAATGATACTGTATTCAAACATAATATTAAAGGATTATTTTTATACTGTTATGTATTTAAGTATTTGTATAGGTATTTTGTAATCATAGTAATTTCTTTGATGGTGAATAATTAAGTGCTATTGTCAATAAAATAAAATATTTAGCGACCTTAACTTGAATAGAGTTTAGTTTCAACTTGTATTATTTACATTCTAGTAATATTTTTAAACTTAAATAGTAGGTGCTAATCTTTAAATCATTCTTAAAAAATATTTATTTATTGTATTTATACTTCTTTATGATACTGCTTAAAACATTTTATGTCATTTCTACTTATTATTTATTCGTACCTACTTAATTAAGTACCTTGGTTATAAACAATTTTAAAATCAAGATATAGATCGTATATTTCCTAAAGACTAAAATAAACAGTAATCACTTTCAACAGTATTATTGTAATTTATCTGTGGGTTTAATATTGTCAGTTTGTTATAAGTGATCAGTGATAACCAACAAATATATTGAGTAATGTATTGCAATGTTAAAAGTGGATTGATTGTTTTAGTTTTAAGTAGATTATATAATTTGAATTGGTTCTAATATTTTTAGATATTTGTAAACTATAAAATATAAGTACTCTAAATAATAAGAACATGAATATTTGGATGTGACTTTCTTCAGAATTCAGAATGACATATTGTTGCTGTTAATATTATATTTGTGTTGGAATATTTTTTCTTCTGATAGTTTTAATTCTGGTTATAGTTACCTAATTAATATTTATCTTCTATTATACAATTATAAATTATGCTTAATTTATATATATGAACTATCTAATTATTTATCTGTTTTAATTGGTTTTAGGTACAAATATAGTGTTCTAATTTTGACATTCATCACATATGCAGCCTATCATGCATCTCGAAAACCCATTAGTGTTGTTAAAATTGTGTTGTATCAAAACTGTTCTGAAGTTACTACCCCTGCTCCTATTAACAACACAGATCCTGATTGGTGTAACTGGGCACCATTTAGTAAGTTACATTAATTCATGGTACCTTATCTGGAATTATCATATTTTGAATTATGTTCTGTATAAATAAGGTTTATAATAATACATTTCCATATATTAGTTAAGCTTACTGTTGTTGTTTTCTTCACTCATTGAAATATTTACAGATGCTGAACACCACAACGCTTTGTTTGGAACATTGGATTCGGCATTCCTTTTTTCCTATGGGATAGCAATGTTTTTTAGGTAAATATGAAACTAAATTAATATTGTAATTAGTGTTAATATTGGCAATAATTAATGTAACCAAGTTTTAAAGTGTTAAATAACATATATAGAAAAAATATATCTATTATTATTTTTAACTGTAAATTGTTTTAAAAAATTAATAAATTTGAATTAAGAACTAATATATCTATTTGATATAGGTAGATGGTCTCTTATTTTATTAGTTTCATAATACTTAATTGTAAAATAATATTGTAATAGTTGTATAATGATGTAGGTATATATATCTAAGTACAATAATGATTTTATTTTAGTGGCATAATTGCGGAACGTGTCAACATAAGAATTTTCCTAACAATTGGAATGATTTTATCTGGTACAGCTTGCTCAATGTTTGGATTAGCTCATTATTACAATATACATTCCATGTGGTATTTTATTGGAGTTCAGGTATTGTACTGAAATTATTGTAGTTAAATTGGATATAAATATTTATATTATAATGTACTATATGTTATACATTTAGATATTTGGTGGTATTTGTCAAACTACTGGATGGCCGGGTGTTGTAACTGCAATGGGCAATTGGTTTGGAAAAGGAAACCGAGGTTAACTTAAAAATAAGCACCAGATATTATAAATTATTATTGGTATTAAGTATATATTAATGGCTATGGTGTTTTAGGGTTTATATTTGGTATTTGGAACTCTCACACATCAATTGGAAATATCATTGGTACTTTACTTGCCAGTTTGTATGTTGAATCCAATTGGGGATTATCATTTATTGTTCCTGGGATATTTATTATTTCTTCTGGAATTCTAATTTATTTGTTTCTTGTGGTCCATCCATCTGATATAAATAGTGATTCTCACTTGAATGAAAAAGTCCAGAATGGTCGCAAGGTAAGATGTTTGTTTTATAGTTTGTTCATTTATAAAATATTTACTATGTTATTTTTATCCTTATAATCTAGATACCCTAGATACAATTTTTATAACATTATTAAATAATATATTATAACATTAAATTAATTTTATGACATGAAGTCTATTGAAAATTCTGTACCAACGAGTTTAAAATGTATTTTTAACAGTAATGTTACTTAACTTAAACTAAAACAATTGTCCCTGTAAAATGTATATAAAGGTATATTAATATTTATTAAATTACATTTAACTTACTAAATTAGTAATTTAATATAATATTTTTTTATTGTAATTTGGTCGTTAAGAAATGTGTTAGCTTAGGCTTAAGTAATTTTGTTGTGCTTATATTTGAGTTGAAAAAACATAAAGATCTCTGTTTATATATTTTGTACATATGTGTGAATAACTAAAAGACAATTACTTTTTAAACCTCATTAGAGTGTATCTTTTGCTTTTTAGAATTACAATTAAGTGTAAAAATGGGTTAGCTCTAAAATATTATTTATATTACTATTTATTTATTGATATTGTTATAATAATTTCTTAACTCGATAATAGTAAAATCTATAAAGGTTAAAAAATAATAACATCTTTTAAGTAAAGTTTATGTTTAAAATAATATTATTAACTCAATACTCTCTAATAAACAAATACAATTATTGCCCATTAATACTTAACTATAAAATAATGATGCTGTGTGAAAATTGTGGATTTAATACCTTTCATGGGTGGTCCATGCATTCAAAGAGAAATTATTACTGACATTTTCATCACAAGATATATTGTTAGAGATTCTAATAATTTTGTTATTATGTATTTAAAAAGTATAACCTTAGTTAAGTATGTTGGTTTTGTGAATACATAACGCGGACAGTATTATGTCACAACAATAGCATTGGTACTAATTTTAAAATGGCTCGATTCCCTTATGTAATGTAAATATTATCATAATCACAATTTGTTTCTTTTTTAAAAAAAAAATGTTTATTATGATAATAATTACAATTCATAAAAACCATATTTAACATTTTTTAAAAAAAAACTTAATTCTTATAATTCTGTCATTTCTTAATGCTTTATGTGGGCTTTGTTTTTGTCTTATTACAACATGGTTAGGCCTTAGAGAGAAATGGAATACGAAGACAATCACCTCATCGTGACTATAACGTACCAGAAGAAAATGAAATTTTGAAGGGCAGTTCAGAAGAGGTATGTTAGTGTATTGCTTTAATTTTGGGTTTGTGCTATGAATATAAGGTTCCTTCCTTTGTTATAATTTTTTTTTCACATCATTTAAATGCATGATGCATTCATATATAAATCTTTTATACAATGTGTATAAAAGCTAAGTTATTAATTGCCTAACACTGCTTTAAAGGAACTCATTGTTAACTCTCATTATTATTATTATGTATAAAAAAATAATTATTAACATTGTTGGTTTTTTTTATAATGTTTAATGAATTAAAGGTAATTTCTTTAATACTTTTAAATTAAAAGAATAAAAAACCTGTTGTTAAACCAACTTTATATTTAAAAGCTATATAATGGTTAATTTTTGGTTAATTAATAGAGTAATATTATAGTTTGATTTATGTTTCTGCCTACTAACAGGGAATAAATAAAATAGATTTATATATCTTGAATTTTAAACTATAGCAGATAAGACATTTTTTTTAACTTAAATAATTTTTAATATTCAATGATATTAAGTTAAATTTTAGTATAAAACAATTGATTCATGTTAAGTAACTACACAATTTAAAAAAAAACTAGTTTACCATCTACTGTAAAATATATGAATTATACATTTAAACTTACTTAATTAATTTGAATAATTCTATTTATTTTTGAAATAGATTATGAATACGTACTAAATAAATTTTAACATAAATAGAAAACTACAATTTATTTTAATTAAATGTTAGTTTTTTAGTTGTAATATTAATTTTTTTTCCAAATTAATTATTTTTCTTTTAGTTCAAGATTAACTTTCAAACTTAATAAACAAGTAACAAATTAATTAATGTGTTAGGGCTTATGTGTTTTTATGGTATAGTTTAAAATGTATGTTATGATATTTTATTTTTCACTGAATATTACTTCTTTGGACATTTTTTTATGGATTTTTTTTTGTCTGATATGAAACAATTCATTAAAAACATTAATATCTTTTTCTGTTCTTAAAATATATTTTTTCATTAATTAAAAATTACATTATTGTAAAACAAATTTATTTAGAACATAAATGATTTTTTATTAACAACATTTTTAAATTTTGACACAATCATCAATATTCTAAAAAAATATTTTTATTTTTTATTTTAATGAATAATGACAATGCATTTATGGTTTTAAAAAGATGTTTTGTACAATTTATTTATGCAATTAATTACAATTAGCTATTGTTAATTATTTGTTTCATATATATTATACTGAGGCTTTTTATTTTTATTTTTATTTTTATTTTAACTAACGTATTATCTGAATGTTTGTCGCCAATTTGTTCGTGTCGTCGATACCTATCAACTCATTTTTCAAAGAAAAAGCAAGGTATTGTGATTAATGTTTATGTTCTATTTTTAGCCTTTTTCTTAGCTTTTTTGCTGCACATACATGCTATTAACACTTTATTTTAAATTTGGCAAGTATGTATTTATTATTTTTTTTATTATTTTTTTATATTGGTATAAAGACGGGGAGTTTTAAGTTTTCAGATTTTAAAAAGTCTTTAATAATTCTTATTAATTTACTTATTTATATTTTTGTTGTGCATTCTGACATTCTATTCCTATCTAAGTTTAAATACAATTATTGGTTTTAATAATCATATAATTTTCCATAATTATTTTTATTTTTATTAGAACTATGTTTATAAATAATTCTTCTAATATTTTGTACAGTGTTTGGAAATATATATTTGTGATATATCATAACATTAGGTATAAAAATGTGTGAAACTCTTGTTGTTCTTAGGAAATTATTGATTTTAATAAATGTTGTTGATTTGTTTTGATACCTTAAGAACTCACATTCAATTTTTATAGTAAATTTTCATTATTTTTACAGTCCTTTTATTGGTAGCACAATCACACATTTAAATTTTTCAAGGTGTGTGGTATGTTGATATTTTATTTTCCGACAATTTTGATTAGATTAAAATAAAAATCATTAACTTTTGTTTGGTCTTATAATACAATTTTTTTTATAATATTTGACATTGCTAATAATATCAATATACAAATAAGTATACAAAATATATTCTAAATATGCAATCATGTTTCTGACATTTTAAAATATATTATCCAGTTAAAGTTTTAGTTCATATATATTATTAAATAAGATTTATTTTTTTGTTATGGTTTTTCTTATATTTAGTTATTGTCTTTAAAGGATAATTAACATTTTTTTTGATTAATTTTGAGATGTTCCAGTATAATAAGGAGTATTATAAATGTTAATCACTCATTATTATGTGCTGTTCAAAACAATGATACATTTTATTAATTTATTTTCAAAAATACAAAAGAATGATTTTGATTGAACTTACCTAAGACAAAATAAAATTTTTTTGGCTATGTTAGTTATTTTATTACTTTTTAATTTGCATAAATTCATCTGACAAAAATTCTACGGATTGAAATTGAATTAGTAAATAATGATTTACATGATTTACACCCTTATAAATGAAATGCTGCTGATATTAATGATGTTTTAATAAAATGTGTGCTTAATTGTTATTGTGTATTGCACTGTATTGTCTTATGAATATATTGCTATTAACAAAAATGTTCATACAAGTATAGGGTATATTTTTTAGTACGGTTTATGTATACAAATTCTCGTGATGCTTTATTTTATTTTTTATACAGTAATTTTAAAACTTAACAATCAATTATTACTTTGAGTGTTGATTTAAGAATTTGGCCTGTGATGTTTGTTGTGTAATTAATACTATTGTTCATTATGTTTGTGTATCATAATAAATCAATACATGTTTATAGCAGTATGATTCTTAGTCTTATAAAATATTCGTGTTAACATTTTATTTAACTAATTGTCAAGATGTTTCATAAATTTATATAATATTCTTTTCTCAAAATATTTTCAAAGTGACTTGAATTTAATATTTAATTGTGGCTTAAACATTCAATATGCCATAACCGTGGATTTAATTTTTAATATGAAAAATGTTGGCAAATATTTATTTGTAGCTTTTTTTACTCTACATTATTGCTTAATAGCATGAATCTGAGTAACATAAATAATATAATAATAATACATATTTATAACATTCTGATGCTTTTGTTATGCTTGTTTTCATTAGAAAAAACCCAGCACTTCCCCACAAGAGGTCTCTATACCTCTTGACGATATATCATCTAAGGAGTTGTCATTGTTACCTTCTAACAAGGTAAAGTTCTATTCTTTGCTTTAATAACTATTCAATTTATTTATTTATTTAATTTGTTTAAACAAATTTTGTGTCATTTTTTTTAAAACATAGTCTAGCTAGTTAATGTTAGTATTATAATAGTACGTTTTCACAAATTTATGAGTTTCAATTACGATTATCTACATATTTTCCTCCTTTTACTGCAATTGATTTTTTATACATAAGTAATCATACAAATTTTTAATCAAAATAATTGCTTGTTATTAAATTTTAATTATCATGCTGTTTTTTGGGAAAACGTTCTTAATATTATTACTTAATAAATTGCTCTTTATGTTTCTGTAAATTATAAATTATGATTTAATTTATGTTACCTACTTTATTTATGTCATTTTAAAAGATCAAGCGAAGTTGTTTACTCAAATTTAAAAATGTTTCATTTGAAACCACATAGGCTAAGCCTGGTAACAAATAAAAATAGTACAACTGCTATTATTTAATAGATGTTATTAATTATTTTAATCATTCTTAATATATCACCTACTATTTTGATTTAAGTAAACAAAGCTTTCTATGATAAACTGATGTTTAAATATTATTCGTTTTCTGCCCAGTGATGTCCAATAATGTAAACAGTGTGCCTGTTGCACATTTCTAGACTTCCAATGCTTTCAGATTACCCAAGACGCCTGTAAACTTTTGTAAGTTGTACTATGCAAATTCATTTATCTAAAGAGATTTTTGTTAAATGTTTGCACTCATTGCACAGTACAATATTGTTGTGGTGGGATTTACTAAATATAATATTAAATTACTAAAATGTTTAAATAATTTGTCGTATATATTGGTACTATAATAATAATTTAACAACAATATAATAACAATTTAATAACAATTAAAGCTTTTTCAATAATAATTTTTCAAAAAATTGTATGGCGTTATCGAATAAGTTGTGCAACAAACAGTCAGAACATTTTTGTACTTTTTAATTATATTTTAAATAGATTTGAATATTGTGATTTAATTATATTAAAATATAATTTTTTTCACTTCAATATTTATACCTGTGTATTTTCACGGCAGTGGCCAGTTTTTGCTTGATAAATGTGTCACTTATTGGGATCACTGAATTAATTTTAATTGTTTTATGATTGTTTAACCATTTGTAATACATTGTATTGCACAAGAAATCATAATATGACAACACAATATCCAGTTTTTCTTTCACCAGAATTACTCAATAATCATCACAATACTTATTATTAAGTATTGATTATTAGAAATAAATGTAACTATTATGATGAATGTTAATATATCAATATTTTACATTATACCTATTGGAAATAAATATTATACAGTCTGTTTTCATTTTTTAAAACTTAAGTAATTTGTGTTTAATTAAAAAAATGAAAACAAACTTGTCAGTCTTTGAATGTTGACTTAATATACTATTTAATGTATAATATATATATTTTATTTTTTACATGTACGTACCTTAATTATGTTATACCATAATAATAATATGTTAGAATGTATTCTTTTCATTTTTATATGTTGTTATTGTAGGTATATATCTATTATTATTATTCATGGTTGATAAATTATATAGTAAATAAGATAACAGAAATATTAATATTAGTTTAATTTAACTTAAGATTTTAAAAAAAATATTATATTGTAACTTATTAGTATTTCAATTTAATTTTAGCTTTTAACAGGTGATGGTTTCACATTAGAAAACAATGCACAAATATTATATTTATATCATTTTTTTAACATTTTAGGATGAAGTAAAAGAAAAAACTGAAGGCAGTCCAATTCTTTCCCATTTAAATGGTTCACCAAAGAAAGCAGTTGGTTTCATAGGTGCCATCAAAATTCCTGTATGTATTTTTTTACATTTTTCTTTTTGAAATTAATTTATGGTCTATCCTTTTATATTGCAGGGTGTAATTGAATTCTCCATGTGTTTATTCTTTGCAAAACTAGTCAGTTACACTTTCCTATACTGGTTACCAAATTATATTAAGTATTCTTGTAAGTAGATATTAATCCATTACCCATTACTATAAATGAAATGTATTATAATTTACATTTTTCTATAGCTACCTATAGCCCTTCGGAAAGTGCAGATTTGTCAACCTTATTTGATGTTGGTGGTATTTTTGGTGGAATTGCCGCAGGAATATTCAGTGATATGTTTGGAAAAAGTGCATGTACTTGTGCAGTAATGTTGTTTTTGGCCATTCCATCTGTAAGTATAATCCCTAATTTATTTTGTCCTTAAATTTTAAAGAATAAAATAATTTTGTTTTCAGCTTTATGCCTACAATTTATTGTCTTCGGTCAGCTTATTTCTGAACATTACATTATTGGTGGTTGCTGGTGGTCTGGTTAATGGACCATACGCACTGATTACTACTGCGGTATCTGCAGAATTAGGAACACACAGCTCTTTAAAAGGAAATTCCAAAGCATTATCTACTGTTACATCTATTATTGATGGCACTGGATCTATTGGTATACACATACAAATTATTATCTGTTCTGTTTTACATTTGAATGTACTTAAATCATTAATTTATTTTTATTGAAAATTAGGGGCAGCTGTTGGACCTCTTCTAGCTGCTTATATATCCGACCTTTTTGATTGGACAAGTGTTTTTTATATGCTTATGGGTTCCAATGTACTTGCAATATTGGTAAGTTTGTTATATTAATCCTTAGTCATTATGATTATTGTCAGCTCCCATGATTATTATCGTGAAAAACTATACATACAAACTTAGAGACCAGTTTTTTAGGTTTTTACATTGTTTTACTAAGGCTATTCAGTATGTTTATAACTACACAGATATTAATTGTTGTCTCCGTCTTACAAGTGCGTAACAGTAAATTTACACTCAACAAATCACGTTTAACTCCAATATAATTTATAAACTAGAATGAATCGACCTGTAATGAAAATTGATGATAAGAACAGTATCTATGATGAATTTTTACAATAGTCTTGTTTTTAACCCTAGATTACACGCATTAAAAATATTCACGAGATTCCACGCACACGGTGTTTTTGACCGTGTATTGAAATATTTCAATTAAAACACGATAACTTGAAATAATAATTATTTTATTGATTTTAAATAAATAAAAATTGTCAAATGATTTTATTAATACATAATATAAACAAATTATACTTTCATATAAATGTTATTACATATTAGATTATTAATTATATAATCGACCAATTAGAAAATAAATAGTTGCCATTATCGTCATAATCATCATCTAAAGATTGTTCAGAATCACTATTATGACTAATATATTCTACCGCATCAACTTCTTCTTCATCACTTTCATCAAACTCAGTATTTTCACTATCAATAGTTTCGATAAGTAAACAAATTTGATTGTCGTCCATTCTAATGAAAAAATAATATAATGTAAGACAACTATATTGAAAATATAGTAAGACTAAAACAAAAATTTATCTGGTAAAAATAAAACGTAATGATACTTACATGTATAAATGTTTTATCTGTATGTGTATTATACTCGTAGTTACACACAGTATGGCAAACCAATGTTAACTAACAACAATCTTGCCAGTCACAATGAAAATAAAATATTAATTTACGTTTTATCGATAGGAAATAACGTCTTATCGGCGATAAGAGAGTTTAAAAATAACCCATAATTGAGTTTTCATAAAATTTAATTGTATATCAATGTCACAGTTTAAAACGCCCACAATCTTTTAGACCGTTTATTGATAGGTAATGAACTTTGAACCTTTCTATAGTACAGGAATAAAATCCTATACAGTTAGGAGTTGTATCTAATGTTGGTTTATCACCTAATTAGAAGGTTCCTCGATTGGGTTAGGTTAATATTTCGTATTTTTGAAACAATGAACAAAATTCTAAGTGTGTATTTGAAGTGTGTGCTCTAGGGTTAAGTGAGTTATGAGCATTTCTAATTTATGCTTTATTATATACGCATAACTTAAAAAAATTTAACTATTGTAAAAAAACCCTAATGCAAACACAGATAATGTACTTACCATCAAGTTTCATAATAGGTCGATCCACTCTAATTTTTAAGCTAACCAAGTTAAACGCAATTACATGAGCGTACATTTGCGTATATCTTTTCTTATCTTTATGGTGAGTTGCTAGCGTGCCTTCCGATAATGGGCCTGTTGGTACTTTTATTATTTCCGAACCATGTATCAAGACTTTATGAATAGTAGACGGCGTGTAAAACATGGGTATTTTGTTGCAAATAACATTGCCGTTTTCTTCGCATATGTATCAAATTCTTCATGATTTACTACCTTATATCCACATGATCAAACTTGAAGAAAAATCCATATATTAATTGTTCATCAACACCCGTAATATTGCTACTTAAATTATGGTTATAGAAAAAACATTGTGCAATATTCCCATAATTTAATGTACCACTACGTAGCTTTGGTTGTACCACTATTAGTCCAATTTTTGTTTTAAACTGGTTCTGAACTATTATTAATTTTTTTTTACTTAATTTTGTAATTGTACACCTTGAGCTTGCCATTTTTTAAAACTTAATCGATGTGACAAATGTAATATGTATTCAAAGAATCTAATATGTGCATGTAATGGAGATAATCTAAAATACATTGAATTGTGGCTTATAGTTTTATTTGCAACTTTTTCAATATTGTTTATTTCTTTTGGAAATTCTGAACATATATAACATTTTTTATGAGATTGATTGTCTGATAGAATTTTACAAATTTACGGCATACTAAATAGTTCATAAAAATGTACTTTTTAATATTAAAAGAGTGTTCACAAGACAAAATATAACCTATCTTATATCAATAACACTATCTTAATGTCCTATAGTGTAAATCCAGATTAAAAAAATACATAGAAAACTATAATTGAATTTTTTTTTAAATTTTCAATTCTCACTAATTTTAGCCCTCTGTGCACCGTTTGTGTTAACAGTGTTACTATGATACATTTTTTCTGTAGAAAATTATTTAAAGTAAAATATATAGATATTATTCTATATGAGTATGATGTATTGTCATAAATTGTTTCCATTTAATTGATTTTTTATGAAACATGTTTGTTCAAGTAGTTTTAATTGTTTATTTTGATTATGTATTTTTTTTACAATTTTAACAATATTGTAGTTCTATTGTCTAAGATTTAAGTGTTAACATTTAAATCATAATAATATATGCAAATATTCATTAATTTATTTTTTTTATAAGGGTTAAATAATATTAAGAGAATATTTCTCTATATTTTCACTGCATAAATACATATTATAATATCACCATTTATTAGAACATAAAAATCTGGTCTCCATAATCATATATGTATAGAAATATTTTGTTATCTGTAACAGTTTATACTTTATAATATAATATATACATGCTCAGTAATGGATGTTTCCATGAAATAGTATTTTTGTTTTTTTTATTTTAGTTCTTATGATAATTTCTTAACTAATATTTGAAAACTTATTATTTTTCAGTTGCTTACACGACTGGTCAAGCGAGAACTCCAGAATGTTGGCTAGCTCCAAAATACCCTATAACTGATAAGACTTATATGAAGAATGAAACATATTAGTTTGTAAAATGTCCTTGCTATCATGCAGTTGGTTAAGAGAAAAAAAACACAAGAATTAACTTTTTGTATGGTTGTAATGTATATTTTAGCTCCTAAGTAATATTTATTTGTATTAATATTAAGTTCTTCGTTCCATTTTTATCTCTTAGAGATTTTAAATAGTTTCAATTTTATTATTATTATAACTTTTTCTTTTTTTTTTACATTAGTGTATTTTTCTTTGTTTAATATTTTGTTTCTCCCAAAGATTAACAACATGATTTACTTTTTTTTTTTAATTTTTATCATAATCGATTGAATGACAAGACAATATCATCTATACAACTTAACTTTTTTATATACTATACGTTGTGATCTGTGATCTTGTAACATTATGTATACTGCTCACTGGTATGATATCTAGATACCATTATAATTATTTAGAGTTGTGCTTTGTATGACATATCGTTGGATTGTTTTAAATTCTATTGATGTAATTCCGTGTTAAAAAATGGAAAATATTTTATTTTATTTTTAAAAAAACAACAAAAAGACTGCGGTTATTAATTATTATTATTGGTGTCTTTTAATGATGCCCGAAAAATTATTATCTTATATCAATAGTAGGTATTTTATTAATATATTATATGTGTGTCTGTATATATATTACATATATATGTGTGTGTGTGTGTGTGTATATATATATTACATATATATATATAATATATAGAACTTTTTTTTTACATATTGTAATGATATGATCGATAAAATTAATTTTATTACTAAAAATTATACTATGCATACCACAAAGTAATAGAATATTACATAAATTGTTATGTAACACTAAAAAAAAAAAAAATTTAAATGTTCGATTACTTAATACTATTCATGTAACATAACATAATATATAATTATAGTATTTGTAGTTAATATTATACAAAAATAAAATCTTGTTTCTGATCACTTTGATTTGAGGACATGTATTACCATCCCGATAAACGCGCATTGTGCCATCCTATGCATCCAATAAAATCTGAAACAATATGTTGATATTATAATAGTATATTTTTTAAGCAGACTGTGTTTAAACATTTTCTTCATTTATACCTTTGGAGTTTACTCAACGCTTGAGGGATGGTTGATGGTGGATCTTTGAGTACGTAGTTCCGTATGCCAAACACATAGTCCTTGACATATGTGTCCCATACCACTTGGGTGATGTCCACGGGAAATGTACGACGGTCGACGAACGAGATGTCTTTGTTAAGCTCCTGGATGTTCTTGCTGATAAAATCCCACTGGTGAAGTGCAAAAAATTCTCCGGTTCGTGCTGCCATTTTGAAACGTCTATAAATTTTCAACATCCTGTAGAACAACACACATTGAATTAGACACCGATTTTAAGATTGTCAGGAGCACTTAGAAACTACCTTTCATTCTTATTTATAAATCTTATGCAAAAATGAGAGCAAATGACCTCTCTCCCACAAACGCCACAAAGAAATTAGTTGAAATTTATCACATTTTATATTGGTGTATTAGGTTAAGTGCTTACTTATTTTCCAAAATGGTCACTGATAGCCTGTTTTGGATTAAAAACTATGGTTAACCAATGATTAGAGCATATTATAAAGATCTGAGTGTAGTTTAAAATTGATAAATTTCCATAACTATCATTGAATTTGCCAATACCAAAGTAGGTAATAAGAATATATTGATATTAAAATGAATACAATTTGATTGTAAAACTAGTTAGTGAAATTATTCATACTCTATGAAAACCAATCGCAATTAAAAACTCGAACATTGTCCATGATTCATTTTGTTAAGCTTCATTTTTATGCATTATAAAATATTATTATATTATATACTTATATTAACCCATATTTATAGATATTGATAAATTTCAACAAATGTATGTGGATTTTAAAATTTAGAATTTAATCTGATTAATATTTATTATAAACAAAACCTCAATCATAGTTTATTTGTCCAACACTGATTTAAGGTTTTAAATTTATTAGTGTACAATTTGTTTCGTGATATAGCTTTGGTATATTTGTGTACATTGGTAACGAACTTCAAGGCTTGAATATTAATTTGGGTACCTAGAAAAATTGACAAATTGTTAAAATCCTGTCACATAAAGAATAACCCATCTAGCGTGAATATCAATTATTGAAGGGTTAAGGATAGGCAATTCTTTCTACGTTGAAATTTGTTCGATGTGTTTACATAGTGTTAAGTAAATAGTAATACAACAATACATAATCTAATATCACCCCACAGAAGTTGGAAATGAGCGTAATCAATATAGTAATGAATAATGAGAATCAGGATTATGCCCTAGCCGGGGTGTGCATTACTGTCAAATTAAATTTAAACATATTTTAGAAAACGGTTTTCAATTTTCTAACGTCTTATCGTAACGAAACACTTTTACAAACTAGGTAGGTATTTTAATTTTCCATTTTAAATGTCTAATATAGTAATAAGATTGTAATATAATATTATGATCGGCACGGCCAGTATATTCAAATTCCTGATAATTTTTGTACTACCTACTATTAAAAAGTGTTCTGTGGCTATACAAACTTCTATTTTTCAAATGAGAATCTCCTTTTTTACTGAAATTATTTAGCCAATGATGTTCTTGACTCTTGTAAATGTAGATGTATCTTAATTTACATTAATTTTTAAACCTAACCTATTTTAAAAACAGAAATTTGTATTGTAACAACATTGTTCTGACGTTCTTAAATGGCGTAAAAAATCTCAAGTATTGGAAAATCTTCAAGAGTATTTAGAAATTCTAAAAATCAGAATTTGAATGTAATGTGAACAGTTTAAGTAAAAAAAATAGGGGGATATACCTTAAAAAATCACCCTGTATAATATTAACACCAAGCCTAACGATGGGAATCATTCATTTAGTAATAAACTATGCAATTATTGAAATATTTGAAACTGCAAAATAATTAATAATAATAATGAATAATTACACAGAAACGAAATTACGAAAACCAAAATTATATTCATATTACCTATAGAATTTTAACTTTGTAGACAAATCCATAAACTATATAATATATGCATAATATTATTCACGTAAACGGTAAACTTTCAAAAGTAAATGTAAAATCTTCATCATTGTTTAATATTTAATTATATATATACATCATACATATATTTTTGTAGCGGAGCGGGTGAGTGAGCGGGGCCCTCGTGGCCTCCCCTGAGCCCATTGTTTTTAAGGAGAGTTATAAAACCTAACTTATCTTACTACTCTTACTTATTGCTTGACACCTGTACTATTATAGTGCCCTGCTCACACTATAATAGGCAAGCATCTGGGCCCTGTAAAGAAAAATTGCGTACGGTAAAATATATCGATAAACACTTTACTATATAGACCAGGCACACGCCAAGCAAATAAAAAAATGTACGAGACCCTAAAAAAAAAGCAGATGGGCCCCGGTAGCGTTCGCGGCCTAGCAGCCATGGCCAGGCCGACACTGGTTACTTATAATATAATTCCTAATTTTAATCTTTAAGTTTAAAGTAATTTATTTATAAAAATGCTGAAACGTTAAGATAATGTTGAATTCTGATAATCTCGTTGTACCTATTACCTATAGCAGATCATTTTTTTCCTAACTAACCTCAGAATAGTTTTTCTTATGCAATGGTCTATCATTGAATTCAGTATTGTTTTACACAGACCTTACACGCAGTACCTTAATCAATACCTATTGTACCTACATTATTGTACAATATTTTACACTCGACACTGTACAGCAGAGCGGCAGTCTTGTAAAGTATTCAAATACTAGTATTTATATGGTATTCTAAATACATTTTTTTTTTATGTATTTTTTCTAAGTATTTTGAATACTTTTTAAAAGAATTTTTAACAAAATTTAAATACTTGTAAAATACGATAAAGTGCATTTTATTAATTTTAATTTATAGTTTTTCACAAAAAATTGACATCAATAAAAATTATATTTTTTTCGTTGAGAACTAATATTATGTTTTTGTATAGTAAAAGTAGGTAATAACAATGTTTGAAATTAAAAAAAAGACCACATCAAATTTTATATGGTTTCTGTATTGGAATTTTTTAAGAAAACTGAAAATCTAATAATTTTAAAATAGTTCCATATTAATAGTTAATACCACTTTTTATTTTATTTTTTTCGTTAAAATTTAATCAATATTAGTTGAAATATATCTAAATGCAGAATGAAATAATAATATGTGAACATGTATTTATCTCTAAATAGACAGACGACAAACATGTTAATGGTAATTGTTAAAATCTATGGTAAGTAGTAACATAATAGGTATTAGCCATTAGGTTAGGTACCTATACCTACTGATGTACGATATATATATATATTATATAGGTAGCATAAAATTAATAAAAATACTTTGTGAGTATTCGTAAAATACATTTTTATAATAGTATTTTAAAAGTATTTTTAATACTTTTTTATTCGAATACTAGTATTAGTATCTTAATACTTTTTCAAAAGTATTTTTTTACAAGACTGCAGAGCGGTCACCTATTTTCCTCCGGTTTATAAAAAAACACCGGGCTCGTCGTAGCTGTAAACGCAACGCCATAATATTACTGCGGATAGACCTAACTTGACGAAGTTAATGCAACGACAACACTCACATGGGCTTGGACCCGGTGAGCCGTAGCACGATGTCCAGCACGAACGCGGGGATGAAGTGGAAGAGGATCTCGCACAGCCTGTGCACCATGCGGTTGGTACGGAACGAAAAGCCAGGATACCACTGCAAGTACTTGGATGGCGCGGTAAGCGAGTGGTACTGGCACAGGTTACCAAGCTCTTCCCAGCGGAGCGGATTCAGTGCTCCGGAAGTGCAGTTGTACACCCGGACCGCGTTTTGCCTGAAATACATACACACGATTAATGTCCACTGTCGGTTATAATC